AGTTTTTTTTTTTAAAGATTCTAAAATGAAAATTTTAAGGAACTTTTTTAGTAATAATGTTCTGAATGCTTTAATTGTAAAAATTTAAATCTTCATTTTTTTTTTTGGACACGAATCGGCCAGCAAGGACCACGCGAATATCATTTCTTGTTCTTCTTCACACCTTCCGCCTTCCTTCCACTCCAATACTCTCTCCACCCCAAAAGAACCCCAACCTCTTTCAGTTTTTTCCCAAAAATCTCTATCAAAGCAGTCCTTATCCGTGATTTTTAGCCTACCCAGGTCTTCTTTTATTTGTTTTACATATCCTCCCATACTTTTATAGCTGTAGACTTTGTCGAAAATTTTCTTGTTTAATTTCTCATCGTTCATTCTAACCATGTGCCCGTAGAACCTCAGTCTCCTGGTCCTGATGACTGTTTCCAAATCTTCCAAATTCCTATATATTTCTTCATTGGATTTGCACCTATACCCCTCTTGCGTTATTTTGTGTCCGTGAATCCTCCTCAGAATTTTCCTCTCAACCTTTAGGACTTTCCCTAGGCTCAGAAGGCTGACTGTTTCCACTCCATACAGTATCACTTGTCTTACTACTGTACAGTAGTGCCTTATTTTTGCATTAGAGGACAAATTTTTCTTGCTGTATATGTTTCTAGAGGCAAAGTTCAGTCTTTCCAATTAGCCTATTCATTCTTCTATAGACGCCCTATCCGTTCCGTTACTACTCCCCTTATTATCTCCCCTAGGTATTTAAACTTTGTGGTTACTTTTATTTGCCGATATCTTGTGTTTTTCTCACTAAAGTTGCCATTCGTCGTCACAATTTCTGTCTTTTCATACGAGATCTGTAGTCCCATTTTCTAGGCTATTTCTTTCAGGGTGTTTATCAGTTTTATGGCTTCCTCTTCTGTTTCTGCAAGCAAGGCTAGATCGTCTGCAATAGCCAGACACTTTACTTTCACATTGTCTCTATTACTGCACCCGCCTCATCCTTTTGTCAGAAAATTCTCATGATTTTGTCCAGCACTACATTAAACAGTATCGGTAACAGGTCTGCCTTGCCTAAGCCCTGTGTTTATTTGAAATGGTTTACTTATTAGTCCTGGAATTTTATTTTTTAATTGGTATTTGTCAGTCAGTTTTATCAGGCTTATTGTTTTTTTGTCGACTCCATATTCCCTCAGATTTTGAGCAATACTTCTCTGTCTGTTGAATCATAGGTCTTTTCAAAAGTCTATAAAGGAGATGTAGAGATTTTTCTGGGGTCTAGCCCTCTAATATTTTATGATCAATTTGAGGCTAAATGTTTGCTCCTGGCATGATCTTCCCCTCCTAAAGCCTCCCTGGTATTCCCCTATTTTCTTGTCTATTTGTGTCTCTAATCTATTGAGTAGAATTCTGGACAATATTTTATACGTTACTGGTAGTAGTGAGATTGCTCTGTAATTGTTTACTTCTGCTTTCTCCCTTTTTTTGTGTAGGTAGTGGGTGTACGAGTATTAAGGCAGTCCGCCATTCCTCTGGAATTCTCTCTTCCTCCCATACTTTCAGGAATAGCTTCATTACTTTCCTTATAAATTCTTCACTTGCCTTAATTATTAATATTATTGAAAAAAAATTAAATGAAAAATACACTGCACTTAGATTGAATGAATTACCTGGACCTTTACATTTCTTGTTTGAATAGCTATTCAACACACAAACATGGTTGATTTCTAGGAATTTCTAATTTTATTTTATAAGAATAGAACAGTGAAGCAAGATTAAGCAGTGTCTCGGTTCAATCACAATATTTGATGTACAACAGGAAACTATATGCCATGGCAACCTGGAATCTTCTGGAATGTGTAAGGTTCACTCCCTAGAGTTATCCTACAGATAACTATGAATCTATAAGGCATAATAGTGAAGGAAACAAACAAACTTATTTCCGTCGCAATTGTCTCTTTGTAGATCCCATTCCTTCAATTTTTTTCAAATAAATATTCAAGAATAAACAAAATTTTAGTGCATATTACTATAATAAAATTAGAAATTATGCGTTGTACAAGAGACTTAACTGGGCACTAGTTAATAACAAGGTTTAGTCTATTCCAGATACTGGGTACTGGGTAATAAGCTCTGGACTTCCCTGAATACCAGCCAATAAGGTAATTCAAACACTGGATATTTGGTGTTTATGAAAATTAAATTATGTTCTTTATTATAAATGATAACCTTCAAACTGGCCATCTATTAACTTTGTTAGATTATGATGCCCCACATACAAATTTTATCGGGGGACTAGATAATAATGAGCTCAGGACCTGAATCAGGGAAAATAATGGATGAAGAAAAAGGAATAATCACAAATTGGCCATCTTACACAAGAAGCCAGAAATGATAAAGTATATTTGGATTGAAGGATTAAGGTGGTGGGTGAGCCACCTTGTATAGATGGAAGAGACTTCAATCTCAAAGAAGTTATTTAGCATGGAACTAAATAGAAAAGTACAAATGGAAAGACCAAATCTGAGATGGATAGATGAAGTTAGTGTCAATGCCAGAACTCTAGCAATAAGTGTCTGACTACCAGGGATAGAAAAGAGTGGAAAGCGACTCTTGAGGTAACCAAGATCCAGTAATAAAATGTGGAGCTCAGGATGATGATCATATTCTTTATTGCTCAGTGAAATTAAAAAAATAAAACATGAACCAAGTTAATATAGTTATACGGTGAATGTATTCCTATGTATCAAAAACTTATGGTACATTTTTTTAATTTATAAAGGAACTGTTTCAAATGTATAATTCATTGTAATGCAATAAATGTTAACTTTCTTGCTAAAAATTAAGAAAAATGTGACTCATCAGTTAATGTCATTACTTAAAGATCACATTTTACAAGTATGAAAAAAGGGCAATGCATCACACTCAAATTGAATCCCATTAATTTACTTTGGTGATAATTTCATGATTACAAGCAATAAAAGAAATTACGTCATCTTAATCAACTAAAAAAAAAAAAAAAAAATACTCAGTTTCTTACACCCGATATTATGTCATGAATAACCAGGTACCCAGAAAATGTATCTGAGTATCAGTCAGGTAATAAATGAAAAAATGGGGTACCAAAGAATATATCTGGTAGGGTAAGCCTAGTTCTGTGCAATAACCCACCACCAAGCTAAAAGTTAGTGCAAAAAATGTCAGTTCTAAATAAAAGTAATTTCTTTATTTTTATCATAAATTTAATTCTTTATTCTCTCTGAATCAAGTAAGATTTATTTGAAAATAAATTTAGTTATTGCTGAAAGTTATTCTTAAAATAAAACAAGAATTTATGACTTTTAAGATAGATTTTAGGACCAATAATTTTGTTTGTTGCAATTAATAATTTTATAAAGCAAGTTGGAAGAGATATAATGAACAAGTAAATACAACAAATGACAGACTAAAAATGGAACATAGCTGTCGCCCGTAGCGTTGACTATGTGTCTATGTGGATTGGATTCATTATGTGTATACAATCGCTTTCTTTGTGGCTTTCTTCCCTTGATCAGCATGAGATAATAGTCCAAAGGATTTTCTTGAATTAAAACTAACAAAAATTAATTTAATACATACAAATTGAATGTTTTTGAGTCTCCACGTATGTATCCAGGCTAGATTGGCTAAATTTATTCAATTTGCTTTTCTTGAACGCCCTCCGTAATCCAAACATCCCCCTTTCCCTGTAGCAAATGAGATCAGATTACAGATTGCACTGTAATGAGTAATATTAAAGAAGTAGATAATTTTATCTGGAGTATAGGCAATATAAAAAAACCAACCTCGTCTTCTATATAGATTCTGTTATATACTAATCATATTCATTTAAAAAAAAAATTAAAACTTATAATACAATATAAGAAACATTGGGTTGTGTTACACATCTGCTACCACAACAATCTGCTGTAGTGTAGACATGATTCTGCCCTAATTTCGCCAATATACCCTTAAAGTATTATAAAAAATAAATAGTAGTTAAGGTAAATAAGAGAATTTTAGTAATCTGATGAAAAATAACATTTTTTCAATTCAGAAAATCCCCAAATTATGTAAGATTTAGAAAATCTTATGACAGATGCTTTAAGGAAGTGAAAGAAGTAAAATATTCTAATATCAATTGTCTTATATACAGAATAATAAAATAGAAGAAGTTTATAAAGAGTTAAAAATAATAATTTTGTTTGATAAGATTGTCTTACATAATTTAAAACCATATATTTAAAATTATTTCAAAGGACATAATTTATTATTCAGGCACTTAAGTCATTTTGTATTATAAACATTGCGAAATATTATCCTTTTTTTTTTTAAAGATTAAATATCACATAAATAATACACCAACAAACCAATTATATATATACATATACGCATAGAAGTTTAAATAACACATACATACATGTACTCCTTCATGAGCATTAGCAACACTTAAAACAAGTTTGACAGTATAGATCTTCATTAATCAAATTCAAAACTTGTTAGATAATATGATTCTTAATTTTATCAAATCATCATAACTTTTAAATTCTTAATTTGATAAAAAACAATCTAAACTATAGAAGATAACTGACAAACATAATGTAGTAAATAAAAAATACATAGGTATACATAAAACAAGCAATAGTTTAAAACAGGTCTGACAATAGTTTTTAATTAATAAAATGTAGAATTGGTTAAATAAATAATATAAAGTAAGGCTGCATTATCCCACCATGTTTATTTTCTTTTTTTACATTGACTACATTTCCGGTATGATGCCATTTGATTTAATAATACTCCTTATATACATTTCATAATTGAATTATTCTGGCTCGAAACGTAGACAATGTAAAAAAAGAAAATAAACGTGGTGATTACTTTATATTATTAAACATATTTTCACCTAAAACAAAAACAAACATGATGTAAAATAAATGATTTTCAAATCGTAACTCCCATATTTCTAGTTTGATAAAAAAAAATTTAACTATAAAGGACAACTAACACAAACATAATGTTATAAATTAAAAACTCATGCATTAACAGCACAGCCTAAGACTCAATGTAATCTGTTAAATAAAAAATAAAGAATTAAATTTACATTTTAGAATGCTCAAATCTGAACTCCTGAGAAAACATCCACAAACCTATAGACCAATACAATAAAAATTTTATCTAAAATGAGTTTACCAGGTATTAATTCACAATTTATCAAATAATACTTAAAATTGAAAAACTGATAACAATAAACATAACCTGCATTACAATGAAAATAAATACTGAAACACAGTGTCCCAAATGATCCCAACATTTTCCTATAAACTAAATTATAACTCAAGCCACATTTCATTTCCTTTAATCATTAAATGGCATTCAAAAATACTAATGAATAGGAAATATTTCCATATTATTTTACATTTTATACACTTTACATTTCCTGTAAAAGTGAAAATAGAATGAAGTATAAAGTGAGCTATTTAATTTTTAAAAAGATTCTGAGTCAGGTTTACAGACTGGAATAACCCCAACACCAACACCTCCTTCATGTGCACACATAGGAGCAACAAACGACCAGGAGTCAGTATTGGGATCATATAGCTCCACAGTGTTAAGATTGGAAACTCCGTCATATCCACCAATGGCCCAAAGCTTTCCCATGTTAGCCACTAAAGCAACACGACTACGCATTACATTCATGGGGGCGACAAATTTCCATCTGCAAATAAATATAAAAAATAAAACAAAAGTTAATATTTTATTTAAAATATGTACACGGAAGAAGAAAAACTAATGCATTACCAGAAGAAACCTACGTAATTTAAATCATTGTGGATTTAACAGTTCCAAACTTTCAAGTTTATTAAATATATTTTTGTGGTATTGTTGTTAAAAAAAAAACTTTAAAATTAAAAATGTACAAACTGCTCTTCTTATCAATACTCCAGCAACAAAAAATTCTCTAAAGGACCTAATTAAAATATCTAAGATGTTCCATTTTGATAGATTGCAGCTGAATGGGATGAAAAGGTATTCCATATTACTATTATTCCATATTACCTGCCACTCCTTTGAGTAGCAGGTAAGAAGGTATAGAGTATATATGTAATTGATAAATATTTTACTTTGCACTAGTGTGGCCTTAGGTTGAAATAGCCAAAAAGTTGATAACAACTGAAGCTAATTAGTTCTGTCTCTTACAACATTTTTAATAGTGCTGGAGCCCGTAGAAAAAAAGGTGTCATATTTCATACTAAGCTTTGTCCTTATAAATTGTGCATCTCCACAGACCTAATGAGAAAAATGCACGTCTACCAGCATATAGCCACTGGAACACAAAATGGCGGTCATATGAAGATAGACAGAGATCCTACATAGATTGTGAGCGTGTATATAGAGAGGGCTTATAGATATATAATGCTACCAATCCTTTCAATTTATAGAATTACAGTTTTAAAACATGAAATAATAGTCAGTTACCCCATACCCGTGGATTTCAAGTCAAAAATTTAATCTAAAGGGAGTGGAGTAGCTCAGTGGTAGGGCACTGAGCTCCCAATGCAAAGGTCCCAGGTTCGAACCTCCTGGGGCACATCCAGCCTCTATAAAGTGGGTACCTTTAATTAAATAATTGATTAAGGGGGAAAACCTGGCGGTTGAGTGTGATCTTGGTCAAATCATCTCCTTGCACAACCGTTGACCTAGAAACAGTGCTTTCCCGAAATAGTACTGAACCCCAGACCCTTTATGGGTTGTAGTGGTACAGATTTTTTTTTTCAGAGATATTTTTTTCTTATTTATCTTACAATGGTGATTTAAGTATATTTCTTCGTTTTGTGGTATCATCTATATTCCTTATATTTCATCTGCTTTAAAAAAAAGAACTAAATAATTAAAGAGATACATTGTACTACAATATGGAATGCAGTCAAATGGTCATTGTAAGATAAATAAGAAAAAATATAAAGGCTAAAAAAAATTTCCAAACATTTGAAAATGTGGGCAAGTAAAGAAAACGTGTTTATTGAAAATTTACTATAATATAATGATAAAATAATCGTTTAAAGGGTGAGAATGAGTTCATAAAAACTTTGAATTATAAAATGTGGCAGAAAATCAGAGAACTTGAGGAACATGTTTGAAAATATTTCAGTCCATAAAAGTATTACGATATTACACAATTATCCTGTTGGTATTACAGACCTTGTAGATCTTTTGCCGCCTTATCTGCATGTAGCTCTTTTTTTATTCAATCTATCCACCTGCTTTTTGGTTGGCTAATTTCTGTAAGCAGCTCTATATTGGCATTTCTCCTTTTGTTAGTACTGTAATCCCAAATCGCTCCAGTTATCATGCAGAGGATTTTTCTCTCAAATCTTTCAATTCAAGACTTTTTTCTTTTTTAGTGTTCAGGCCTCACAGCCATATATTAGAACTGACTTTATCATAGCATTGTACACCCTTAATTTGATGTTGTTCAGGATTTCAATGCCTTTAAAAGGGAGAAGCTATATTTGCGCTTGTTAGACGGTGGTCTATTTTTGACTGTTGGTCATTTATTGAGGTAATTATAGTGCTGAGGTATTTGCATTTTAATAATCATTGGGAATGATTTCCCTTCTACACTAATCCTTTTCGATTTAGTATCATAAATTTTAATTTATCCATATTAAAGATATAAAAATATTCTTACTTATCTGTGGCTGGATCATACATTTCAACAGTTTGAAGGAATGTAGCACCATCATAACCTCCACAAACATATAGTTTACCATTCAATGTTGCAACTCCTAGTCTACACCGCTTTGTAAGCATTGGGGTGACTGAAGTCCATAAACAGGTATGTGGGTCATATCTTTCAACCTAAAATTTTACAGAAATTCATAGAAAAATTAATAATAATAATAAATAAATAAAAACCAAAAATAAAAAGTATAATGAGAAAATATATTTATTAAATGAAACGCAAGTAAAATAATAAATATAAACAAACATTTAAAGAAAAAACATATTAAATAAAGTTCATGGGTGATAAATATTCAGGAAGCCGTCATTATAAAGATTTTATTAGTGCCGACGTTTCAACCCAAACATGTGGGTGATCATCAGAGCTGAAAATTTGTTTAATACAACCAGAGATATAATATTATACGACAGATAATGGTTAATAATAAAAAAATAGTGATTGATGATACATGAAATAGAAAAATGAAATATGTAAAAAGTTATACAAACTTTTTTTTTTAAATATTTATTTATTGAGCAAAAATACATTTTGCCTCAATTAAGGGCATTAGTATTTGAGGTGTAAGAGACCCAATTGTAACCTTTATACGATAACAAAAAAAAAATAGAATAATTATAACAAAAAAAGAAAACTTAGTAAAACAGAAGAAATAAAACATGAGACAACATTAAATAAAAATCTAAAAACACATTCATACTTATTTACAATCAACCGAGGGAGTTCCAAGTCAGGCCCTTAGGCCCACGTGTGGAGGATAAGGCACGACTCTAAGAGATCCCAGCGCTTCTCTCTCAGCTGCGTCACTGTGATAGGTATCCAGTAGAGACTGAGAGAGGACACTAAAGCCATATATGCTCATGACTTGAGTGGAGAAGTGGCCATTGCCAGCACTTCAATGACATGTTTACAAAAGATCTCAAGGCCACTGCCGTTTCAACCTTCGAGGAGGACTGTAGGGATGACTGGAACTGGATAAGGATTGTGCTAAGGGATTAGAATGATGGATTAGGTTCTGATGAAAATTTGAGAATCGAGATGGAATAACGTCAAGGACATAGGGAATGTTAAGGTCAGGATGTAGAGTTGTGTTTGTAACATAATAAGGAGCATTGACTATTGTACGAAGGACTTTAGATTGGAAGCATTTGATTTTCGAAAGTTTAGCTGGCCCCCATATTTCATGACCATAGGTCCAGATGAGTTTTAGTATGGTCTTGTAAATTAATAATTTGTTTTCTATTGAGAGATTAGAGTTTCTGTTAAATAGTCTATATAATTGGCCAAATCATCGGTGAATTTTTTGTCTTTTAAGTCTAGTATGGAGGTTCCATGTAAGTCTTTTGTCTAAAAGGAATCCAAGATACTGAACTGTGTCTGAAATGGGAAGAGATATAAAGTTGAAAAAGATAGGTGGATAGGATCTGCATCGAAGGGTAAAGGTGAAATGCTTGCATTTGGATTTGTTAATTCGTATGCGCCACTGCTCAATTAGGGAGATGTGTCTCTGTGGTTTTAGAGATGATATTTCAGGGTCTGGGTGGGTTGTCAGCGGTGAAGAGGATGTAGAGAACTGGGCCCAAGACACTGCCTTGTGGAACACCAGCTTCAACTGGATAATGATTGGAGAATTCAGTGTCGCAGCGGACTTAAAAGGAACAGTTGGACAGATAGGATTTGAGGATTAGGTACAAGGATTGGGGTAAATGTGTTTTGAGATTGAAAAGCAAGCCATCTGGTCGAAAACTTGCGCTACGTCCAGAAAGAGACTAGTGCAATATTGCTTGTTTTCAAGCGCAGAGGATATATGGTCAACAACACGAAGGTCTTGTTGAATAGCGGAATGTCTTTAGCGGAATCCAAACTGGTGGGAAGGGATATTGTGGGATTCGAGTATGGATAGGATGCGTTTAAGGAGGATTTTTCAAAGAGTTTTGAGAGGATTGGAAGTAAGCTTATTGGCCTATAGGATGAGGTATTATTAACAGGTTTACCTGGTTTAGGGAAGAGGATGATTATGGAGTGTTTCCACATCAGGGGAAAATGAGTTGTGCACAGGATAAAGTTGTATAAGTATGTGAGGAATATGATTGCTTTTTTGGGAAGTTGTATAAGGATCTGGGAAGTAAGATCGCATCCAGGGAATTTTCGAGGTTTCAGGTTGTTTATAAGGAATTTGACCTCAGAGGGGTTGACTGCTTTAGGAGGCAAGGAGAGAGGAATCGGTGAAGAGAGGAACTTCAGCAATGTGGGTGGGATGGAGTAGGATTGGAATCTAAGGTAGCCAGTTCTTTTTTAACCTGTTTGGAATAATAATTGTATAATTTCCGATCATCAGGATGCCTGGTTCTTTGCCAGAGGGTTCTAAATTGGTGCTTGGATTTAATAAGGGCAGTAAGGTTTTGGTACCAAGGATTCTTTTTAAGGTTTTTTTTGGAGGGGAATGGTGAAAATGCAGTCCACACTGCTTGTTGGATCAAGATGGTAAAGGAACTCACTGCATTATCTAGGTCTTCAGAGGTTTTTAAGGAGTACTCTGAAGTCTATTGCATCTTTTATCATTTGGCGGAAAAGGTCCTAGTTGACTGGGCCTCTGATGACTGAGGGAGTAGGTAATTTGGGGACAGGAGATGCGGAAGGGGTCAAATTTAGCAGACTGTGGTCTGAGGAAAGGTCGTCGAGCCGTGAAACTAAGAGATTTAGTGGCCCTAGACCTTTGTAAATGAAGAAGTCGAGGAGGTCAGGATTACGGTTAGGATCGGTTGGCCAGTATGTAGGTGTATGAGGGGAAAGAATGTTGCTATTGTGGAAATTAAGTGCAGACAGCAATGTTCTGACTGACAGGGAGAAATACTTTGTTTTGTCTGGATAAATTTGACGAGTAAAAATTATACAAATGTGGACAGGTGATATAAAAAGTTGCAATTAATAAATTTTAAAAAGGACGAAACATTACATAAAAAAGAAAAATTTTATATGTGTGTGGATACTTAATAATGTCTTCCTATTTAAAGATATTGCATTTAGGAATAGAATAGTCGACTACATTTTTTTTTCCTCGCTTTTATATTAACTTATATTTCTTAAAGATATTTGGTTGTTCTTACATTTTATTTTTTTTAATAATTTAGAATATCCTATGATTGGGGCATTATTTTGTCTTTATTACTTTTATTATCTTTCCAGTCAGCATTTAAGAATAGGTCCTAGCAAAGCAATTTGTACAAATATTTTGGTCTATTATGTTTAATAGAATATTGTAATTGACAATTGACTAAGGAAAAAATATTAATTCCTTCCTTACATAATACAGAGGAAGTACTTTTTTTCATATTGTTTTGCTATTTCTTCAATAAACAAAATTTTCTGCGAATTTTTAGCCTTTTTTTTTTATACTTATGTAACTTAAATTCAGGAAAAAAGTAGAAAAATTAATTTACAATTATACTGTATTATATTTGTTTTCTTTGTTTTGCACAATAAAAGCTATTTTCATTTCAAAGGTAATATTAAATTAATATTAATAAAAAAAGGTGATTTTTTTCTGTTTAAATCTAGTTGGTAATAATAAAACTCACTGAATCAAAAATCGACAACCCATCGTGGCCTCCAAGAGCATAAACAAATCCTTCAAAGGCAATGACCCCACCAGCACTACGATGTTTTTGCATGCTCGTAATAACAGTCCATGTATCAGTATCAGGTTCATAGCACTCAACAGTATTTAAAGAAGAGACACCATCGTAACCGCCACAAACATACAAGCAGTCATTGAGTGCTGCAGCACCGACTGCGCTGAAAAAGTTTTAAGCAAAATTATTATGACATAGTTTTTCAAATTATACTCAAGACATAAGAATACCAAATGTTACAGTGGTAATCATAACTTTCTGATGCCTTAAATAATAATAATTTTTAAATTAGCCTAAAATATTTTAATTAGCATCATTATCGATAAGGCCATGGTTCACCATTTTGGAGTAACATTACAATCAACACCAAAGCCAAAATTTGAGATGATTCGAGTCTGATTTGTAAGAATTACATTTAAGTTGTTGTGCACACACAGAATAAATTTAGACGCTTTACCACTCTGACTCAGTGTGTCAATATACTTTTTTTTATAAAGCAATTTACATTTAAAAATATTACAGGTAGCATATTTTGAATTGAATTATCTAATCATTTTTAAATTGATGGAAAAATATAAAATAAATCATTCAAATCGTGTAATATACCTTCTTTTACAATTCATCGGAGATACTTTAAACCAATGTCTTTTAAGTGGATCAAATACTTCAACAGTAGACAATCTTTCAGATCCATTGTAGCCACCAAAAGCATATAATCGGTTCTTTATAACTGCCACTCCAACTCTAGAACGGAGCATAGACATGGGCTCAGCCATTCTCCATCTTCCAACAACCGGGTCAAACATTTCCACGGTACTTAAAGAATCACCTCAAAAAAACATAAATTATTAACATTTCATTCTTTTATTAATAAACAAGTTAATATAACATCAAGAAGAAATGAACAAATTAACGATAGAGTGGTTTGATAAAGCTAAAACATAAACTCTTAAAATTCATGACATATCAAACACAATGCCTAATTTCACAGAGACTTTTAGAATGAGTTATTAATTACACAGAATAGTAACATTTAAACAAAATACAAGGAAATTGAGTAAATTATAAAAATGAAATCACTAAGAAAATTAATAATTGAACCAAATACCTGATTTAGTAAGTCCGCCAACAGCATAAATACTGCCCATTATATAATTACAACATCTAGGTCTTGTTTTAAAACTTTGAAGTAATGGCCTCCTTTCAGGCATTAAATGACAATCTCTTGCTTCATCCACCAAATCGCTTAAATAAAAATATATAGGCAATTATTATTACCAGCCATCTATATCCTTTTCGGCATGTTGCAAGACTGATTTATTTTATTTTTTTAGGCCATACTTTTTCAGTAATAACTAACCAGAACTTAATATATAGTTTAACATAAAAGATTTAGCATATACTAATTAAAATATAGAATCCCTACCGACATTCATGAGAAGCTCGGATCAATTCCTCTTTAGCAACTCTGTCCACTAAGTAATGAGGAGTTAAAAGAGGAAGTCTTACTGATGCAAGAAGTCTTGATAATTCAGATTTTCGGCTCTCAAGATCCTTTTTAACCCACCTCATAATAGCTTCAAATACCTACATTATAAAGATAAATATGACAATAAAATAATTATTTTTCTATTCATAATTAGTAGTTCATTCAGATAGTAAAAAACCAAGAAAATTCTATGAATGATAAAAAGTTAAAATTACAATACACCACCTGATAGAATAGAAAATCTTAAAAAATGCATGATGTCAGTAAGGACTATTATGATCAACCATTAGAGAGCATCAGAACAAAAATATATCAAGCTAAGAAAACAATAATAATTAGAACATATGGAGCTTTATACGAGCAGAAAAAAAAAAAATTGGGGATTCAGGGATTGTAGAATGTAGGGTTTCAATGCTAGATCTGTGTTTTTGTTATTACAGATTTTTTATTAAGTGAAAAATCAGAATGTCAGGTTTAGACAAAATCATCTATATTCAAACACATTATATAATCTCTTAACATTTTTTAGCTTCAATATAATGCTTAAAAGATGCTAATAGTGCCATTTCTCAACAAACTAAGTAATCTTAGGCTTCATCCACAATGGTACACTGCCTCAAGAAAAAAATTAAGGCTTGCTATGTGATGCCATAATGAGTACTGACCCTCACATCACCCCTGATCCATAGCCTTTTACCTAATCGGAGAATTGGTTATTCAATTCTTTTAGCATGAATCCTCACGCTTCAAGGCAGGAGAACACCAAAATTTACAGAAGTCTTTTTATATCATATCATTTATACAACAAACAATCATCATTAAATTTATCAACAAACAATCATCATTATAATTATATACCTAAAAATATTAAAGTTACTATAATTCATCATATAAAATAGCAAATATTAATCTCTTAGATATTTAATTTTTCTCCAACTACTGTCTTATTTTGATGCTCATGTTTTTATTTTGACTATATAAAATTTAATTATTTAAATCACAGTTGTTAATTTCATACAATAGTAAACTTAAATAAATGAGATGGAATATCAGAAAATAGATTTTAAATACGAATGACCAAGTGGTGCATAAATAAGAATTTGTTTAAAACTGTTAATTTTTATAGATTATAATTTGAAATATCAAAATATATAGCCTATGGAAGTTTTTTTATCCTACTTTTTGGAGTAAAAAAAAGACAAGCACAGGAAAAAATGAGTCATCCTGTTATAAGGTGCTTAATTCAATTCTTTTAAATGATTGCAGAATTTGGTAAAAAAATATCATTTAAAAAATTTTAATTATTAATTTTAAGAAAAGTAGTTAGTAAAAACAATATCTTATATCTCACTGAGCATTATAAATTTGAACATTTACCAACTACTAAACTTAATTTTTCATTCAATTTCATCACATAAGTATAGTAGAGAGTGAAATGAATTATAATTCAATAATCAGAAAGCTTTTTCTTATATACGGATGATCAATTTTTTGAAATTTTAAAACCCACAGCATGAAATCTGCACAACTAAAATATGATTTTTATTAAACAAATAGGATTTTCACAAAGATAATTCTCGAATGTGTTCCGTGCGAATTGATTAGTGTTGGTGTACAGTTTGTGTTGTGGCCAAGTATGGGGCAAGGATTAAAGAGTTAAGGGTGATGGATGAATTAGTGTGTCATTGTGGATGATGCCTTAGCTATCACCATTTTTAGGATTTGGTAATAAGTCTTCTTATCAGTTCATAAATTATGTTTTCTTTACTATGTGATTTGATTAACTTTATCCACTCTTTTGATTATTATCGACCAGCACTACAATCCACATTGTGTCTCGATTCCCAACAGCAATATTCTGCATATGTCTTGGTCTTGTGTTAAAGCTAAAGACCCACCATTGATTAAATAAAGGCTTGATTAATTTCGCCATCATGAATATCCTTAGACCAGGTGTTTAAATCACATAGTAATTGATTGTTATTACAAAATGTTTTTGATCTAGATGATTGATTATTAGAATCAAGCAAAATTTAATATCATTAATTTTTAGTATAAAGTCATGAGGTCAATTTTTCTAAATTGATCGTGAGTACAAATGTTTCAGACATTTTTACCTGTTCTTCTGAAATAACATGTAGTTCATCTCTTTTAACAATATCCAGCAGTTCATTGACATTTAAATTATAATATTCTTCAGAAAGTGAGACATCATGAAAATATTGATGCATGTACTTATCCGCTGCCTCTACTAAAACTGAACAACCCAGAGTATCAGCAAATTGTCGTATTCCAAGCACATTATGAGGATGAAATCTATAAAAATAAATCAGATCAGTGTGGGGTATGATTAATTAAATTTTGTAATTAAAATATATTTTTTTGCATAAATTATTTTTACACTAAGCAAGAAGTTAATGGTTCATTTTTAGAACAATTCATTATTTTCATCAAATAAAAATTTTGGTCTTCTGCTGAATTTATATTATTAATTTCTCAAAGTGATTCAACGAGTGTTCTTGGCGTTTAAAGCATTTTCAATATTTATATAGGAAGATGAAGCAAAATAAATTATTGAACAAATTTCTTTCTATTCAATAAATATGTATTAGTTAATCATTTATTTTTTGTTCAACAATGAATAAAAAAACATTAACCAGTTTATTTTTTTATGAATAGCAATAAATTATTAGATATTTAAAAGACTAAAATCTAAATCATTTTTCTATTCATTATTAATTAGTCCTTAATTAAATAAACTTGACCCAATTATGAATGAGATCACTGAACTATACTAAAACAAAATAATTCATAAGCAAAAATAAATCTTATAATAATTCATAATCAATGTAACACAAGTTCGACCACCAAATCCAGAATAAAAAAAAAAAAGAAAATCTAAAGTATTGAAATAAAAACCAGTGCTTTGACTGTTAACATTTCTAGAAAAAAATAGATTTAGAGTTAATACACTTTATAATATCAAATTTTTCATCAATTAAAAGAGGTGGTAAGAATAAATTTGACAAATAATTGGTATTAATAATCATGTACAGTACTTTTTTACATGTTAATAAAATATATGAGAAAAAATGAAAAATAATTTAATTTATATGTTTTTCAACATTACCAGCATACTGATGAAGCTATGAAAATAAAATTGTTACCTTTTTTTTAAAAAGTCAGCACATGCATTTCGGACTCTTGGTAACTGCAAGAATGCAGCACCTACCATTAAGCTTTGAACATTGTTAGTGTTAATAGTAACTCTGCCACTATATGCAAAGTTCACCAAAGCTCCCAAAGCACTGAAAACAAAATAATTTAGTGAAAACCACAACTACAGTTATTATTATTGAAAGGAAATTAGTCTATTTGCTGTCAAAGAATGGAAAGAGAAATAAAATTTTAAAAATGAGAAAAAAGGGTTGTCTGCAAGATTTATTAAATTCAATCAAGGACAAAATGACACGATATAAGGGCTGCAACAGAAGAACCATAATAATATTTTAAAAAACAACAAAGGGTTTACAAACACTGGAGGACTCAATCAGAAATTTTTATAGATCATATTGTTGTTCATAAAGATACACAATCCCATTAACTCTTTAACGGTGGTGAACTCATATAAGCTTTGAGACAAAACCGGTCCCAGGTAATTGACTTATGTATGAATAGAGATGGAAATATTAAATTGTTCAGTAGAGGTGATGAAAAATATTCTGATATAGGGCCACAGAGAAGTGTTGGATAGCACCATCCTCAAGGCTCCTCCATCCTTCCCGCTTAACGCTTAAAGATAAAAGGACAGTGTTAACCTATCTGTTCCAAAATTGGAGTACTTAGAGATTAAAGATAAAGAGATTTTCTTCCTATGATACAAAGATGAAACATTGCCCATGATAGAATTCACAATACATATCTTTTAGATCCACCATAAATGTTACCATATACCAAATTGGTTTACAAATGTTTCAAAATTGAATATGATAATAAAACTGAGAATTTGGTGAGAGAAGTTATGAAAATTATCAATAATATCCGCTAATTTTTATACAAAAAAAATGCAACATTCATTAAAGAATAGTTTTATTAGTATATTTTCCTACCAAACAGGGGCATCCAAAAGGGGGTTTGACGGCGCAAGTTGCGCCATCAAAATTGTTGAGAGGGGCACATTTTGATGGGGTTTTGAATTTTTGAGGGGGCACATTTTTGGTATGAAAAGTTTTAAACTAGATGACAAGGAAAGAACATAGAACAGACGGCAGCAAATGTAATTGTATATGATCTACGATTTTTTTAATTCTACTTTCGCGTAAACTGGTTTAAGAGGAGGAAAATAAAAAATATATTGAGAGGGGTGGGGGGAGACGAGGTTCATGTGCCATTGACCTTGGGGAGGGTGGGCACCTCTGCTACCGAAGAAGAATTTTTCCCAAAATTTTTTGTCTTCATATATCAGTTGCATACATCTAAAACTTCTTTGAAAATGATTCTGAAGTTTTGAACGAGAGCACCTTATATATAGAGAATACCATATTTTAAAATCCACATTTACATATGAAAGACATTGAACAGAATCATCAATACTTCTAAGATATATCTCAACGACAAGCCTAAATTCAAGTTAATATAATCAATGAGAATATAAATTGAGCAATAATTCATTTAAAAGTAAAAGCTCAATTGATAGCACAATCTATAAACAAGATTCCACAAATAATAATATAATTTCATATTGAAATAATAAGTTCTGTATTTAAAGCAGTACAGACAAAAATGAACATAATTTAAAGCTACTTGAGATAACTTATTTATGAAAACCAAAACATACACAGCATCAATTCCTTGTATAGTGATATCTCTTTGCTTGCTTTCAACCATATCATGCATAAACATGGCATGAAAATAAGGGATAGATGCAGCAAGCACTAAGCGATGGCCAGTAAAAGATTGATCATCGACCTACAAGAATAAACAAACATTATCATATAATCTCATAAACACTTAAAATCATACAAAAACGGATCAACATACTTTCAGGGTAACATCACAAAGTTTTCCTTGTCTCCTTATTTCTTCCATTATCGAAAATCCATGAGCAAAAATATCTAACTGCTGAAAAATTACACATTCTTCTGACTCAGAAACTGTTCTACTAAGGTATTTCACTTTTTCACTATCACTGGTGTCAAAACTGGTATTTGATGATTGATCCATAATCACCATCACATTAGAAAACAAAATATATTAACAGAAAATAACATTTAAATGCAAACCCTGAGTGAAATTTGAGAAGCTGTCAAGAGAAGGTTACAAATATTGTTGACATTCAATAAATACAATAAGTTGTTTTATAGATTCGGAACTAACAAATATATGCTGCATGTCATACATTATTGTTATTTGTGAATAATTGAAATAATAATATCGAAAAAAATGGTTTTTATGATTTTTTTTTATTTTTTTTTTGTATACCAATAGAAGGGTAACCTTCTGCTACTGTTAATATTGGGGGTGGGGGAGTGGCAGTTGTGTTGGAAGTTGATGTGTGACTTGTTGACAAGTCTGTAACAACCTGTATGTTTTTTTTTGGAAATGACTAGATAAAATTATAGATTCTTATAATGGGCGATGAATCAAAGAAAACTTTAAGTAAGATTCCACTTTTGAAGACTAAAGCTGGGCCTAGAGACAAAGAATTATGGCCCCAAAGGTTGAAAGAGGAATATATTTCACTCATACAGGTATGAAAGTAATACTTTCATTTAGTTTTTTTCTATAGATATTAGTTATGTCAATGCATTACTAAGTATTGTATTTATTACTGCTGTAAAATGCCACCTTGAGTTCATTGATATTTCTATTACTTGATAATATTTATTTTTTTATCTTGCAGTATGTTCAAAATAATAAGAAAACAGATAATGACTGGTTTAAATTGGAATCAAACAAAGAAGGCACAAGGTGGTTTGGAAAGTGTTGGTTTATCCATAATTTGTTGAAATATGAATTTGACATTGAGTTTGATGTGAGTAACATATGTGGTTATGTTTAATAACTTCTTATTCATTTTATATAACTAATTGGCATTTTAGGAAACCTCTGGTATGTATTTAGCAGATCTTACCATTTTTTAAAAAAATTCTTTATTGCCTTATGTATGGTTTAGTTTGAATAATAATACAATTATATTTATATTTTATATACATATTGTACATGTTATGAATTGATTTATTATTCTTTCATTATTATTATTTAAGACAATTAAGATTTTAACTTGATTATGAATTTAATATTTTCTATTCATGCTCTTTCTCTTTTACTATTCATGTCCCTATTGAAAAATCCAATGTGATTGATTGTGATAATCACCAAAAATTGTATTATGTTTAATGATACATTGCTTTGTATTTTTTATTTTCACTTACTTATAAAAGTAATACATAGTAAGAGAAACTAGTGTGATCGTGAAATTTTTTGAATCTGCGAGAAGAAATCTAAAATACACATTTTGAATTCCTCTGGGTACAAATAATGAAGTCGCACATAATAGTCTGTGTTTATGTCTATATGAACAGCCCAGCTCCAAAAAATAAAATTCAAACAAAACTAAAATAACTAGATAATTGATGTATATCTTGGAAATACTTTAGGTAAATATATACCTAGAATGTTACAGCAACTTTTCCCCTAAAATCAGATAGCCGGAACTGCTATAAAACATCAGTTTTACACATTTTTAAGATTTTCTCGATCACTGCTCCAACGATTTTGATTAAACTCTATTACAATTTATAATTAAATGGTCTTTAATATCATCTAGAACTTATTCCCATTGGTGTCGCTTTACTAGGGCGTAAATGCCCAATGTCCAACATTTCTTCCTCTAAAGTACTTGTAATTCAGTTTATTATAATTATTTAACTGTTCCTCACAGTTTATAGTAATATGAAAAGGCACAATATAAATTATGGAAGAATTTGATAATTCACTAAAGGAGAAAAAAAACAAAAAATGTTTTTTCAGGTTCAAAATAAAGTTCCAGAAATTATAGTCAGAATGTATTCACATAATATATCGTTGAGAAGGTGAGAATTTCAGATAAAACAATATCTAACATATAAAGTCATAGAAGATAAGAGAGAGTGACAAAAAAATAACTAGTGAATAATTTGATGAATTTTCCCCCTCTGATATCACACTATCCAGTTACAATTAGTGTGACAACTTTTGATCTATCATTGATGTATTGAAAAATTTGTAACTGTATTTGGGTAAATTTTACAAGAGAAAAAATAAGATTTTAAATACATGTAATAAGTGATAGATATTTGATTCCTATAGTTATTACTATGTAGTACAATCCTTATTCTTTGAGTGAATATGTGTACTTTCAAATATCTCTCTTTGTATATAGAGCTCAGAGACTGGAGTTATATAGTTCAAATAGATTGACAGAATTGAGATGTATTTATTGCCTATTGCCGATTTAATAAATAGGGTTTGTATTATTTTAATTGTCATAATGAGTTTTACCAGCTGGGGTCACAGTTTTAATTTTAATTTAAAATTTTAAGCTAATAGTTTAAATCCCATTCACAGGATTTAAAACAAAAAATAATTAAAAATAAATAAGTGCAGTCTCTACTCGATTACTTAAACCACTGTGGCACAGATTGTTTCCCGCATGGGGATGACATTACCGCGCCTGCCCTGAAATTCACAGGAAGGTGAGCGACTCCAGTGTCTTCCAGCACCATAGCTCCTGATCCTCCAGATTGGGAATTGGGCACATGGCCATTAACTCTATCATGTAAAAAAAAAAAAAAGCACGATGAAGGAATCTGCAAAAGGGTTGCCAACCATCCTAATGAAGAGGGAGTGGTTAGTGATCGCGTCCGGTTCTAATAAACCATGTGCTCCCTAGATATCTATACGGGTATCATAGAACCAAGCGATCACAGGTGTTGCCTGGGATAGCGATGTAATTGCTAAAGGACTAAGGAAGGAAGTCAATAAGTCAAGAGGCGTTAGAAAAAAAAAAGAAGTTTTACATTGATAGGTAGGACCAAAATTCACAAATATGTTCTTCAAGGTTCGCTCCATTAAAAAAATTTCCTAATAGCTGTATTTCGCCAGGCAATAATTTCTGTTCAAAGTAAAGCTGTAAGTGAAAGTTTTATGATGTATGCAACAGATTTTTTAAAATTTAACATGTATTTTTTAAATGTTTTTATTATTTGTTCTACTTTTTTTTTTTTCTTGTTTATCTCCTATCTTGCTATTTCTGGCATATGATGGGAGATGGGAGGGTTGTACTAGAGCAGAGGTCTTAGGCCCACGGAACAAATTAATACTTCTACTGAGTCCCGTGGGATGCAGTGAGACCTCCACTAAGTCCTGTGGGTCATGAGTTGTAATGAAAACAATATTGATTGTATTATATAAATGACTCTTCAGCTGTACTTTCTAAGATAAAAAAAAAACATGCAATAAAAGTTGAAGCAAACTCGTGTGAGATTAATTTGCTCAATTTCATATTTTTAAATAGATTTTATCATTTAATGAAATAATGTTTGCGGACTGGTTTAAATATGCTTGCATGCCCTGCTCGATCTGGCCCACTAGCCATAGTTTTGAGACCCCTCTCCTGGAGGTACAACCAAACCTATTCTAACCTGAGTGAGAAGGTCAAAACTTTTCCTGTGATGTGAGTCCACCATGAAATTAATTTCAACCCGCCCAGGCCTAGTTTGACCTATCAGGCGACACTTTAACACACTCGGCCATTACTGCCTTTTATTTATACATATCAAGACATAATAATGTTATTCAATAAAATTATTTTTTCATTTCATTTCATTATAGGGGTCCAGAGCTATCCAATATTTTGAGGCTCCTATTGTAAGTTGCGCAGATCTTAATATTGGTAAACCGGGACATTGACCGGGTAGGGGGGAAGATTAGTTGGTGGTTTAATAGACATCCATTAAATGTGGAAGGCAGAGGAGGTTCTTAATTAAAAATTTGGTTCATTAAGTCCAAACAATAGTTCATATTTGTTGTTACAATAATTAATTTTACATAATGGTAATCTGGTGCAAATGTTAATCAGGTTACATAGCATTTAGCTGAAAAAAGATTGATAATTTAGTTCTGAAGACGTATTTTTAAGAGCGAATAATTTGATGACATATTTGATGTCTAATTTATGACTTCAATAATCAAACAGTTTTTAAGACTTAAATGTTTTGTGCTAGCAGTAAGTACACAATCAAGTAGCTAATTTTCAAAATGCTGGAAATTTATTGAAGAAGATATCATTTCGGTAATCAAAGTACTAAATGATGTTAATTTACTGTGATGCCCAAGATTTAACCTTTTTCTTATCGATATTTTAATAAAATACCTCATAAAAAGATCATTTTCTTGTTTTTTTATTATCATTAAGTCCAAACAATGGAGATCGAATTCTAACGATTGATCAATAATCCGAACTTTGCTAAGCAGTTCTCAATAATCAGTTTCTTAACAATTATTCATTATTATTAAAGTTTAACATTATAAAATCAACGAAAATAATTAAAAATTAATATCCTGAGGAAATAAATACCTGGCCGTCTAAAATTGTATATTCTGTTCCCATTCTCCTGTCGTTCCCTAGCTTGTCGTAAATAGGGGCTTCTCAAAAATATTGTGGGAGGCAGAACAAATTGTTTAAAATCGTGACTGTCCTGCCAAAAGTGGGACGTCTAGTCATCTTCTCCTATCGGTTACAGCAGTGAACTATGTGTTTGTGCATTTGTGTCTCCATCTTATTTCCACCTTTCAATTTTTAAAATTACTTATTTTTGTTTAATACTTATTACTTATTTTGTTCCAAATTTATTTTCTATACATTTTTTAATAATAATGATTGTAAATATTTAAAAATAAGAAAAAAAGAAAACCAATTTGAAACCTACAAAAAATTTAATGTCTTGAAACAAAATAAAATCTGCAGATTGTACAAATGTTAAGGTTACATGATGGAGTGAACCAAGTACGAAATTTCTAAGAGAAATATATATATTTATATCTTTATTCATAGTTATATTTTATACTAAAGCTATATTTCAACACTGTAATCCCCTACTCTGGAATAAACTTACTCGCTGTCTATACAGATGTTATAAATTATAATCCATAAAGTCTAATAATCAAATTAGAAATATCTCTAAAATGACTTTACTACAAAATGTTGAAATTGGAATTTGTTATTCTGTCAACTGAAAGGCTCATATAATCTTATTTTTTAATGCCATAACCAACACAATTAGAGTAATATGACATTCACTATTGTTCAGTGAAATATATAAATATCACTTCTTTGGAGAAAACAATCGACATAATATGTGAGCCATCCCTTTACTTATATTGCTTCAATAATAATATAAGGAGCCCTTAAAGCAATCTTAAAGTGGAACCTATTTAATTTATAAAATATTTAATGTGAACATTTATTCTATTTGAAAACGGTTCCCATCTGACCCATTATGCTTGGTTTAGTCTTTATTGATATTCAATATAAATATAAGATATTCAAATTTTTCAAGACCATGAAAAACCTCATTGCTTCTTCCAATGCCAAATTGTCTCTATACATACCATCCTCCTTTTCCATAAACAATACCTCATTCATTTACATAGAAAATTGGCCTAGTGGGTTTTTCATAGAAACTTATTAATTTTTTTAAACTAAAGTATATCTATCATCTTTTTTCTAATTGAATTTTAAATAAATTAATCAATTAAAGGTTGTGTTATAATTAGAGATTAGTGCCATAGTTCCCGTATTATCTTTGAATCTTTTCAGGGGTGATACATATTCAGGAAGCAGTCTTTCTTAAAAAAAAATTTTTTATTTATGCCAATGTTTCAACCCAAACATGTGGGTCATCTTCAGGGTGGGTTTTGAGCACTGAGGGTGTTCAAGTACTAATGAGTGAATAAAATATTTAAAAAATAATATTTTTTTAAAAAAGACTGCGTCCTGAATATTTATCACCCATGATATGTAGAATAGTCGACTAACTTCCTTCAATAATTCATTTGAATCTTTTCTTTTTCTCTAGATAAATTATTAGGTTCTTATTTTAGCATAGTAAATTGTAGCTGAATGAAATTGGTTTATATATTTTTAGATACCTGTTACATTTCCTGTCACAGCACCGGAGATAGCAATACCAGAACTTGATGGAAAAACTGCAAAAATGTATAGAGGTGGTAAAATTTGCTTGTCCGACCATTTTAAACCTTTATGGGGAAAGAATGTGCCTAAGTTTGGTATTGCACATGCTATGGCTCTTGGTGTAAGTTTAATAATCTGTTATTAATACTTTCATTTTAGTGTTCATGCTTAAAATATAAAAGTTTTATCTTTTAGTTAGGACCTTGGCTCGCTGTTGAAGTTCCAGATTTGATAGAAAAAGGTGTAATTAAATATAAAGAAAAGGAACAATCTTGATAGGTTTGGTCTACTACACTGAAAAATGTGACTGAAATACTACTCATTGTGTACCATCTGCTAATTAATATAACATGCAAGAAAGTTCCGTTGAGAGCTCATAAGTATATTTTTTTAAGTTTACCGATTTTTATATTTTCAATTCTTTTCTCTAATGAAAGGTTGATTTCTGTTGTTTATTTCACGTTTTTATTCTTTTGACCATAGATTATAGATTTCGTTAATGTTAATGAATTTAATGTGTAAAATTGTAAATAAAACGTTAATTTTTTTTTCTAAAAATGTTAAAATTAGTTCATTTTTTTATGATTAACAATTAATTTTTTATAAAGTTTGTTTTCATTGTTAATAATTATTTTGTTATTGATTTCTCGCTCAGGTTTTGTTTTTTTATTATTTTATATCTGATAAGCATTAAGAGTTTTTATCAAATACATAAAAGATAGTGAACAGGCTCCCTTGAAAATGATATGCAATAGGTTTATTTATTTTTATAATGTATTTCTAAACACTACATGTGTGTTAATAGACAGATGAAAGAAAAGTAAATCATATTTTTTGTAATTAAAAATGTAGTAAATACCAAATGGAATGATTGAATGAAATATAATGTCAATTTTGTGATCTATATTTTGTTTTGTGTAATATTATTATTTTTTTTCCATAAATTTTGTTATTCATCAATTTTTTTCTTATCTGATGTCATAGGCAGGAAGAAAGAAGTATTTGAATGTGCACTGTAAGTGTATCATTCAAACATCTTGTCGTGTTATTTTTTATTTCCCTTCTATTTTTCAAACCAATTCTAGTAAATGGTAAAGCTTTATATTGTTTAATAAAGTATTTGCTGGAGCTTTCGTGATCGTAATGTGTCAACCCTACAGATATCTAGAGGTTGTAACTCTTTTGTAATTAAAAGTTTTATTATATGGGATTACCGCAATATAAGTAATATTGCGTTTATTTTTTATGAATTGTTGAGTCATTTTATTGCAAAGGGGGAAGAAAGTGAATGCAAAGTCCTGTTTTTAACATAAATTCTATTATACTATTTGTTTTGTTTTTTAATATTTGTCTAGATATAATAAAATTTCTAATTGAGGTATAACACATAGTAAGAGTGAAGTACTGTTGATTATATTTTCTGTGCAAATAATGAATCTGGTTTATTTGTATGATGACTTAAGTTACCTTGTTACCTTTCATTTAATGTTTTTAATAAAGAAATCACTCATTTCAGAAGTAATCAAACATTTAGAATATACTTTTTTGAAACAAATAAAAATCATATAGCACCAAATAGTCATTGCTTTATCAAGTTAATCTTAGTCAAACATATCATCGATTCAAATGCTTACTATCAAATCACAACTAATATCATCATCAATTCAGCCCAAACAACGAGGATATTTTAATTTCCACACTAATTTGTTCTTTTATGAATGTTTAAAGATTTTGTATTTGCTCTTTAAAAATATTTAATAACAATTACAATCGCTAGAGTGCAGGATTGAATTTTTTTCAGATTTGATAGCATTTGTATCAACGATATAAGCTACAATGATGAATGAAAAATCAAAAAGGTGATAATTATACATACAAATAAATGTTCTGTTTTTATCAATAATAACTTTGAAATATTAAAGCATTACTCTAATAAATAAAAAATACATAACATTTATAAAGGAACACTTGAATTATTCAAATAACATTAAAATGCCACAAGAAATCTTAAGTTAATTTTTTTTTTAATTTAAAATTTATATTTTAAAGTTTTTTAATAATAAATTAAAAACTATAAGTAAAAAGAATTAACAAAACAATACAAATCGAATTTTAATATTATATATAACATTATATAGGTACTAACTGAAGTAATGTTATATATATGTATGACTAGGCAACAATACATTATATAAAAATTAATGGTAATTATAATTAATAACCTTATTAATCACATTGTATAGAAAATGACTCTTTAATGCACGAGTTTGATGATTAAGGGAATCAGCCATAAAACATTTATCATTATTTGTGAATTGAAGTTTTTAGCACCAGTGAATTACTTATACCTGATTTCAGGGGTCGTTGAAACAATCAAAGAAATTTGTCTTTTTAAACAGTAATAGTGGTAGCATTCGATGTTAAGTGACTGCTAATTAAGGGCAACAATATATCTAATGAACAATTAAGCAATGGTGGTTATTGTTTTGATGTTTAAGATACAAAATATCTAAATCAACAATGCCAATTTAGCAATACAAAAGTTCTCTGAAATGAATCTCATATTTTATGACCATTTACCTTTATTATTATATTTAAAAATAATCATCAACTAATAAAATACAACATAATATGTTGATTATATTATAATCTAATTCGTTACTTTAATGAAGAATATATAAATCTATAATATAAAAATATACATAAAATTTTACAAAATATAATTTTGATTTATATTAAAATATATATATATATATGTACATATATTATAAATAATCACTTATAAGACTACTAGCCATGAACATAATCTTTAATCATAAGTTTTTTCTTTCTAATAAAAGCTGAGCAATTATTATTTTAATTTTTTGGTCAAGGACTTATTATTATGTTCATATAATACTAGATATAAAAATATTTGATTTGTACTGATTATAGTTATATCTTTTTTATAATTTTTTTTTTTTTGTTTTAGAAGAATCGGAATAAATAAAATATATATATATATATATCAATCTAAACTGATATATAAAAATAATAATAAAATTAATGAAATACATTAAAAAATATTTTTTTCTTATCATAATAAAGTCTACTATAATATTAAACTGATTTAAACCTAATAATTATTATCATCAAGAGTAATCCTCCATAGAGATGAACCTTGGGTGACAATGCATGCCCTGCATTAGTCTCAGTACTGTTAACTGCAATATTAACAAATAAGTTTTAAGTAATTGAAAAAATAATAAAACTTAATTAGAAGAGAAATCAATTTTATTGATATATGAATAAAATGTGAATAAAATAAAATAAAATTTTATTTTATTCACATTTCAGCTGCTGAATATAAATGTTTATATATTGTATTAATTTTACCTATATTTACTGAACTTTAATTATATGTAATATTTATTTTAATGGAATAATCATAATTTACTAAAGGATTACGCAAGACAAAAGTTTCGTTTGGCCTGTCCTGATGAAGGCCTGAACTTTGTGCTGAAACGTCGGAAAAAATAAATATATTTATTCATTTTTATAGTTTGCTTTTTTTGAATGATCATCCTAACCATTATTCTCTACAGTCAACCATCAATCCGCAATCATAACTTACTAAGTTTAAAAAATGATAATGTTTACAACAATAAATTTGATAATATAGTGCTTTTGTACTTAAAGGTTGCCTATCTCTCCAAGGTCTTTGGCCCATGAGTGTCCCTTTTCCCAAGAAATTTTATTGGCCTCTTCTTAAAATAGTGTAAGTGAAATTGTAATTCATATACAAATACCTTTGCTGTGGTCAATTTCATGTATTATTGAACTCCCACATTAGTGAAATGTAACCATATCTTATGAAAAAAATCCTTGATTGAACACTTTTTTTTAAGTGCTTCAAGCCCGCTACGCTTAACTTATATATATATATATATATATATATATATATATATATAAAACAGGCGGATCTACCGAGGGGGCTTTCGGGCTGAAGCCTCCCCCCCCCTCCCCCAAAATGGTAAAATATTACCATGTTTTACAGAAAAAAAAATATTAAATACTATCTCTTAAAGTATTCTTGTTCCTGTAATTAAATTTAATAAGACTTCAAGAACCACTTAAACACCATTTCATCATAGGTAGTTAATTTCTTTCTTTTTTTTTATAATTAATTATTGTTATATGTATATAAAAAAAATCTTTCGGGCTGAAGGCCCCCCAAAATTAAATCCTGGATCCGCTAGTGATATATAAAGCTTTCACACTGAAGCCTTCCCAAAAAAAGTTAAAATCTGGATCCGCTAGTGGGGGGTGTGGTGGTACATTTGTGGCACCCCTCCAAACTCTCGGGTGGAACAATGAATTGAATTTTCAACTTGGCTGACATTATATATGAGGGAAGAGATTTCATAAACGTAACAAGTTTGTTGAGAAAAGAAACTGTGAGTATGGAATACAGAGTTAGTTCGGCTCATATTTAGGTTGTTGTTTGAAGTGAATTCTTTACAAAAATGACTCTTTGTGACAGAAGTTAGTTATGAATAGTTATCACTGTTAAGATTATATTGTGTGTATATCAATGGTTTATTGAAAAAAAGTTATTAAGTAACATTTCATAACCTTCACTAAGAACTTGAGTGAATTTTCCTTTTGTAAAGTCAGAAAATTATGTACTTGTAATTAATTATATTTGATACATAAAAGGGTTTATATGTTTTTAACTCATTTACTATGTTTTTTTAATCGATAAATAAGGGTTTTTTTTATAATAAATAATACCGATCGAAATTCATAAAAATATTCTTGAAAGTTCTGCTCCATCAAAAATGTACTTTTTTTAGTGACTTTTGAAATCAACTAATAATATTACATTTGAGGTTATAACATATATTGAGAAGTGACCTGGTGTATTGGAATTTATATGAACCATAACACCTCCGGATAGAATTTTAATTAACAATAAAAAATTAAATTGAATATTAATATTAACAATAATTAATAAATTATTTAACTTATTGATCAGGTATATTGCAGCAATAAAAATTTAAATTATACATTACTAATAACAATAATTAATAAATTATTAAGCTTTATTAGTTATTAAAACCACCTGACTAACATATGAGTACCCATTTTTGTAAGCTAATATACTAGAGCAAAAATATGGTAACTGTGTACCATAATAACTGATAATTAATGAATGATGAAATTAATTATACTTTAAGTAAGTGAACAAAAGCGGTGAAATTAATCTTTCTTTAAGTATGTTAAAAAAAACATTCACCATATTATAAATGAAATTAAAGTATCATGCTTGATTTATACATTACTACATCTAATTTCTGATTGATAAATCCTTTTTTATTAACAATTATTTATAAATCACCTTTTAAACAGTAACTTTGCTCCTCCATAACAAATCCATCTTTACACTGACATAACCCTTCTTTACAAGTAATGCCATGTTTGAACCCTTTTTCAATTAAACATTCAGAATTATATCGGCATGGTTCAAGAAAACCTAGGAAAAAAAATTAAAATATAAATTATTTTGTAATACATATTTCAACTTCTTAAAAATGAGAGTAACAAAATGTAAACAAAACATAAATTGTGAATTAAAAGACATTGATTAGGAACCAAAAAAATGTTGTTTTTTTTTTATTATTTATTTTTCAGTCTTAATATTGTAACTATACTGCACAATATAAAATTAATTCTGGTTTTAAAAGCATAATTAATTATTATTCAATTCAATTAGTATAAGTTTAGAATGCATAAATTCACGCTCACTTATCGTTAAACTGAGCACAGAATACTAGCATAATCATAAATATTGAATAATTTATATACTTTTTTTGCTCCAACATTGTTATGCACCGCAGTCTCAAAAAGGCCTTTTGTGTGTCGCCCTAAACTCAGTTAAAAAAGGCCAGATGCCTTTGCGAGCCTATTGATCCCGACAGGATCAATCAGTTCGCAGTGCTTGGGGTCAGTGATATGGTCACATCCAAAATGAAACTATCGCAGTATAGCCAGATTATCACATTTGCAGGTAATGTGATAGGCCGTTTCATCCTCCTGGCCACATAGCCTGCAGGTGGAGGTTTCACTTACACCCAGGTTGAAAAGGTTTAATTTATATTAGCGGTAATAAAAAATATATTGAATATTATTTTTTTATTTTTTGGGATAATCTTGACCATCTCATAAAAAATAAAAAATTTGAAAATAATGTTTAGATTTTTTGCTTTTATTATTTTTTTTCGTTAGGTTTACACTCTTTTGAAGCATAGATATAAATGTTGTCTTTAATACCGTTGGTCCTAAGGAAAAACCATGAATGGAGAAATCACTAATTTTGAGAAAACAAGCTTTAAACTTATCTAACTTATTCTATATTCAATGAAACCACGTTCACAGTGTATTAATTGCACAAATGATCATTTTGCATTATCATGATTTCACCTTGAGGAAACTTTTAAACATAAAACTGTGACTTAAGAAAAATTTGACTTTTCAAATTTGTGGTCTTCCCTTAGAACCAACCGATGATATGAGAGGTTAAAAAATCAATAATGATGAGATCATTAAACATTTATTGTAATAAAGATTAAATATAATATTAATCTTGTTAATTAATAGAAACCAGAACTTGAAAAGCACGCCGTGACTGTCCAACAACTTTTGCATGTTCTGAAAAACCACCAATAGCAACTTTATTTTATTTATAGAGCTGAGGATAGATAATCAACTCAGTGACTTAAATGAAGAAAACAAAATACAAACTGATGTCAACGAATTTTTTGGGATTCGAGAAGAGGTAAATTTCAGAAGGATTTTGTCTTCTGTTTTTTTCTGAAAAAGTTTCTGAGCGAGTCAGAAGGTGTGTTGGCCAATCTGATGAGGTATGATGGGAGGTCAACACCAGTTCAGCTAAAATGTAATATTGGAATATTTAAATATTAAAGGGAATGGGCAATTAGCAGGATACGATTGTGTAATTAAGTGAAGAATAGCATTGCTATTGTTGTGGGAGTTGATGGTGGATCAGAACAACCATCAGCAAATTTATAACTAGAATCAAAAGCAATTACCTCAAGAGAGCTTGACTAGATAAAATATTTAACCCCTGATTACTTACGAACTGTTTTCCAGCATTTGCCATCTACATTGTGTGAATCATTTTCACAAACACAAATACCTTTTTCTTCATCACATCTTGCGTTTTGTAAAGCAACTGAACATTGGTCATGCACCACACAGGGATCTTCCAGTTTTTCTGCCACTTATGGATTAGAAAAAAAAAAACAATAATGAGAATAATTTTGATAAATTGTGATTTTAATTTACTTTTTTATATAACACATACATATCAAACAGGAATCATTCCTATCCCCAGTAACAAACTTTTGTTTACATCTACAAAATCCATATCTACATCCTGAGTTTAAAACTGTACATCCTGTATCATCTAGACAAGGACCACCTAGTCCTGAAAATAAACGATTCATTACTTTTTTTTAAATTAAAATGTAGAAACAACATATAGAACTATGAAAAAAATTTGTTGCTTGTCTATTGATTAGTGGAATGACATTATAGAATCTAAAAGTTTTTATCATATGAATAATATCTGGAAATTATAAAATGTGGATTAAATTTCTTCTTTAGTTTTAGATCATTCATTGTGAATAAGTTTATACAATGGATTATTTTTGAAATAACTGAACTTTGTGAACAGTTTAATTTCAGGGATATAATGAATCATTAAATGTGGAGTGTAGTAGGAGCAACTTTCATAAAATATTATGTTTAATACTTTATTATTTGAAATATAATACAGTCAGTTACATTATTCATTTATAAAATAACTCTTCGCATGGTTAAATTATTTTCAGTTCCAATATATATATATGTATAGACCATATATGTGTATTATATTTTTGGAACAATATATATTTATCAGTTAAGTATCTTTCAAAACAAACAAGTATAAAATTAATATTAACAAACATTAGATCAGATTTCTATATTTCAATATTATAAACTAAACAGAAACTATGATTTTGGCTTGTTTGAGGAATTAAATAGACAATTTTGGGTTTTCACTGCTTCATTTGGCACCTTTTCATTTTTTTACATTTTCAGATTTTGCAGGAATTTTTATTTATAATTTCATCATATGGCAACACTACAAAGTGTATTTTGACCAGGTTTATATGGATGTTTAGGTATTGCAGCTGTTATACTATAACAACTACCAATATCTCACTCTATTGAAATGTGCTTAAATAATCCTTGTTTTAGAATGCTACTGCCTCATATAAAAAGACTTATAGTGAGGTATCATATTGTCTTTAGAAGAGGGATTATGAGATTAAATTAAAAAATGGCAAAATGTGTGTCTTTTCTCCAATTCTAAAAATATTAATTAGATGTTGTTTGCTTTTCTTCTTCTATCTGTTATAGCAATTTATTTATGGTTTAATCCTTTAAAATGGGTACAGGTTCTCTATTTGAATTTGAAGGTTTAATTGTTATTCTAAATAAGAACCTAAGCATTTCTAGAAATGAAGCTCCTTCCCCTACAACCCACAGTAGTGAGTGGAATGGGTGATAGCCAATGCTTTGATAAACTTTGTTACACATAATACAGTAAAAATTAAAATTACTCTAAAGTGGCTTACTTTTATTATTTTTTATTTCACTTCTAGGCTATTTCTGATTTATCTCTAAATTATTAATATCTCATTGAAAAACATCAGCTGATAAATAAAAAACAAATTCATTACAAAAATAAATCAACATTTTTAATAAATACATAAAAGTTTTAGACATAGTCATTATTATTTATTACCTGAACTAGGCTGGCAATCATATGCATCAGCAGTTGGGTGGTACATTGGTGGGCAAATACACCGACCAAGATCACAATAAGCTTGTATATTCGTCGATTTTGTAAAACAATTGTCATTTACATCACATCTATCTCCTATCACTAAAAAAATAATAAATTACAATTATTTGGACCATTTACTTTTAGTTTAAATAGAAAAAATTATGGGTTATTGAGTAAACAAAATTAAATACATTATTTAAAAACTAAATGAACATACTACAATTACATAAAATCTTATAAAATTGCATTAAAAACATCAAAACGTGCTACAAAAATTTTGATACATACAAAAAGACATCATGCACGTTTCGGGTGTCATACCTCCAACAATCAAGCATATTTTTAAAATAAGAAAGTATCCTTTCAATATTCTACATTTAGAAGTGTATTCAATAAATCAATAAAATGTTCTGTGTGGGTATATGTATGTTAACAGTCTAGCTCAAAAACGTAAAAATACATATTTATGCTAGGTATATTCCTGGGGTGTTACAACACTAACAGATCCAGAATTTAATTTTGGGAGGGGTATATATTAGGATAATTACTTCGGAAGAAAGAAAGAAACTAACTACCTATATGAAATGGTGTTTAACTTATTTTTTAAGTCCAATTAAATATAATTAGTCGAAAAATAATACTTTTAGAGATAATTTTAGAGATAATTACATAAAATATGGTCATATTTTACCATTTTGGAGGGAGACTTAGCCCGTAAGTCCCTTCCCCCTCCTCGGTAGATCGCCTGATTGTTACAGCAACATTTTCCTTAAAATCGACTAACCGGAAGTACCACTCCATCGATTTTACATTTTTTTAAGAAACGGCTGCTAACGATTTTGATTAAACTCAGTGTATCAATGTACAATTGAATGGTCTTTAAAATCATTTAGGTCTTATTCCCATTGATGTCGAGTTTAACAGGGCTTAAATGCCTACTGTTAAAAATTTCTTCCTCTGAAGTGCCATTAATTTGATTTATTTTGAATAATCAACTGTCTCTCATCGTTAGCAGTAATAAAAACCGGCTAAATAAAACCTTTGAAAGAATTTGTTAATTTAATAATGGAGTAATAGAAAAAATGTCGGAAGGAATACGTATAATATATCATTGGAGGTAATTTTCGAAAAACAATATAAAAAAAAAAGTAGAAGGTAATGAAGAGTTACGAAAAATTATAAATAATAATTTCAGAAAACTAAAATTATTTAACGGAAATCACATGTTTCCTAGGAAAGTAAATGAAATTTCCTAACGAAATGTAAAACTTTAAAATATGTGCAAGTTTGAAAAAAAAAAGTAGATAAAATCCACCGAATCAAGGCAATTGTTTAAAAAACTATTTCATTGTAGTTGTGTGAAAGGAGGAGTGAAATATAAAAATATTTCATGGATGTTTAAAACATATATCTATAACGTTAAATAAATGTACTGTAGTTTAATAACTTTAGATCTGATATTATATTTAAATAATTAGGAATCTATCGTCGGTTTATTCCGAAAGTCCTTCACATAACATTTTTCCAAATTAAATTAGTGAATAATTTGATGAATTTTTCTTTTTGTGAAATCACATCATTATCAACTTACAACAATTATTCTGACAATATTTAACCTAGCTATAGTAGGCAACGAAAACCTCGTTACTCCATTTCACTAAACTTTACAGGAAAAAAAAAACGAGTTTAATAACTAATGGTAGTACTATCCATTTATTGGTTAAATATTTAGATGTTCTTTCAAATCTCCCAAAGCCTTATATAGCTCAGAAACTGGAGTTCTGTAGTTTACAAAAATAGCTGGAGTTATGTATGAGGTTCTTATTGCCCACAGTCGATATAATAAATAGGGTTTTTGTTATTTTAATAGTATTAATGAGTTCGGAGCTGTAAGGTTTAAGCTTTAGCACCGTTGATAATGCACTTCAAAAATTTTATAATAGCCCAGCATTGCCAGAAAATAATTCCTATTCCAAGCACTGACAGATCCATAATTTAATTTTTTGGGAGGAGAGGAGGGGCTTCAGCCCGAAAGCTTTTTTAATATATATAACGATAGAAGAACAAAGAAACTAACTACCTATAAAACATGGTTATATTTCACCATTGTTATTATTTGGGGAGGGGGAGAGGCTTCAGCCCGAATACTCCCTCCCCCTCCAGTAGATCGACCTGTGATTCATTCAAAGTAGAGCCTTAAGTGAAAGTTCTGTAATGCGCTCATGAGATTCGTTTTTTAAGATCTTAAATTTGAATCTTCTCTATCCTAATATATTAATTATGTCTGATAAAGAGTTTTAACAACAAAACGCCAAAATATTGATTAAGTAAAAAAGAAAAACAATATTCTTCAAAGATTTCTGATTTCTCCCAGTTAAGGTTAATATTTTTTACCGGTTTGCAAATCTTTTGGAATTGGCTGTTTATCTTCAGAGATCACACCTGGGATACTACACACTTTCACCTCATCTTCTGGAAGATGGGTCCACCGTTTCATTCCCAATGTATCAACATGGATATCTCGAAAACATGGGGAGGTAGATTATTACCTCACCCAACTGCTCACAGAGCATGGTAGCTTTAGGGAATACTTAAGCCGTTTTAAAATACATAATACATCATCGTAACCAACTTGTGATACCGTGGATGAAATAATTGAACATCCGTTTTTCATTATTTCGAGAAAAGGAAGAGCTAGACATAAAATTTGGGACGAAATCATTTCTTGAAAACTTAGTCGCTTTGATGATGACTAGGTAGGAGGATTGGAGTAGCTGCACCAGACAATGGGGGCGGGGTGGCAGAATAGGTTAAAGCGAGTGCACAGCACCGCTAGTTGCCTGGCAACCGGGGATTTTAAATTCCCCGCCCTCACCCCCCGGCCCGGGAAACCAGACTATGCCGCGCAAATCGGCAGAAGGCTCAGAGCACAGGAGCGAGAAAAGAGGGGCCATGAAATGACTTATCTTAAATAAGATGTCCAAAGAAGTGAGCATATAGCCTTCTGCTCCAGCAAAGTAATGCTTAACATCAGTTCCGTGAGGGTGGTAAAGAAAAATTGGGAGGTAGTTTTTTAGTGAGTAGGAATCTCATACTGAGTGTGACTTATAGTCCGTGGTACAGACTCCTTTTTATAGAATTATTAACATCCGTCCGAAACTTCGTAAATAGCTTCATCTTATCGTAATCAACAAATATATTATTTACGAAAATACTCGGAATTAATACTCTGTGCGTTTTCAATTTGGAGATCGGCAAACTTTGTCTATTTAATTAGGTAATAAAAACTCGTAAATACTCAATTACTTTCCAGTTTAATCTTAAGATAACGTGAGCACAAAGTCGAGAAAAAATGTGGCCTTCAAAAATATTGATTCATTTAGCGTAACCTACACCCCCAAATTGTCAAAATAACGAGGTTATATAGACCAAACGGCTCAATATTTTTGAAGACCATCTTTTTTCTCGACTTTGTGCTCAAGTTATCTTACGATTAAAGTGGAAAGTAGATGGGTATTTACGAGTTTTTAGTACCTAATTAAATAATAAATAGACAAAGTTTGCCGATCATCAAATTGAAAACGACCCAATTCCAAAAAAAATCGTAAATAAGGTTACGATGAGATGAAGCTTTACGAAGTTTCAGCCGGATGTTAATAATTTGATAAAAAGGGTCTGTACCACGGACAATTTTTGTATGTTACACTTCATCTTATGAAAAATTTTTCTTCTACCCAGGAAAAAAAACATACCACCGTGTGGAAGTCTAAAACCCATATTGCTAGATATAGAGAGTAGGAGACAATCATGCGATCGTTGCACAATCTACGACGCAATAAATTTACAATTATATCCAACCTACACATGTCAATGAGAAAATAAGTGGGCATGTCAGCAACATCCAGCAATATCTTATATTGCTTGGGAGAAAATTGCCTGACCAGGAATGTCCAGAATGGAGTTTTATGGCGCAAGAAACAATCAAAATTGTTGAGGGGGCATATTTTGACAGGTTTTCGAATTTTTCAGGGGGACAAATATCGACGGGGTTATGAATTTTCGAACTAAGAGATAAACATAAGAGGGAAACATAGAAGAGACCGCAGTAAGTGAAATTGTATATGATCTACGATTTTTCTAATTCTACCTTAGTTTCTTCTGTTTTTAAGAAAAGGTGAGAAATAAAATATTTTGGAGGGAGGGGGCAGGCAGATTATTGCGCAATCGACTTTGGGAGGGATGGGCACCCCTATGTCTGACTATTGTCATTCACTTGTATATAAACAATGCAGCGACTGGTCATGATCCCGGAGAGCACGTTAAGGCCATCAGACCTTTAGGCTTCTTTTGGAAATTGCTGGTAAGGCTTCGGATAAAATAATTGGAAACAGGCTACAAGTGAACACTGAAGGTGTGAGTCTTTAACTGCCAATTTGGCATACCGAGAGTAAGATTCACGTTAGATGCAATCATCTTGGTAATAGAATCAACTCGGAAAGCTATCGCAGAGAAGAGTGGTTGAGATTGAATTCTAGGATTCTCATGCGATGTGAGTTCTGGTTCTCCTTTGTTTTTAAGCAGGTCATGTTGTAATCCTACCATTTCATAAAGGTAGTTATTTTCTTTCTTCTTCTATAATCATTATATATATATATATATATATATTAAAAAAGCTTTTGGGTTGAAGCCTCTCCTCTCCCAAAAAAAAAAATTAAATCCTGGATCCGTTAGTGCTTTGAATAGGAATTATTTTCTGGCAACCACCATACCAGACTGAAACGACTAGAAACCGCTGACGTTTTCGACTACTGCAGCACTTACTAGACAAACACTCTAAGCTTTCAATCAATTACAAACGACTCATTTAAATGATAATAATAAGACCTATTTGGACTTACGGAATTGAGCTTTGGGGCTCCACTAAACCATCGAATTCCTCTCGCATCCAATCCTTACAATCCAAAATCCTTCGTAAAATCCTCAACGCTCCTTACTTTGTCACAAATAAAATCATCCATAAAGACCTTAATGTTCCACATGTTTCCGATTTGGCCCAATCCAGATACCTATCGTTCCATAACAAACTGCAGAACCATCCG